TTCCCAACCAGGGTCCTGAAGAGGCCAAAGTCTGCCCTCCAAAGTCCATGGTAACTCCCTAGCAAGTCACCTCGACTTGGAAAAACCCTGCTTGCCATCACCACAGCCCACGTGGTGCTGAGAGCACTTTGCACAGGAAGGTAGGCTGGGAGGTGTTTGCCTTGTTGCCATCCTGGAGAAGTGGCTGTCTGCCAGCATATCCTTGGAAACCCAGGTGATTCACTTGTTTTTTTTAAATGCGGGCTACACAAATCACCCAGAGGTAACAAATGCTGATCATTATTCAACTCTGAGAACTACCCATTACTCCTGCAGACTGACTCTGATCAATCGCTTCTGCAGATGCCTTGTGCCACTAGCTCCCGGCACCAGCATGGAGGGATGTCCCTGTCCCAAGGCTGACCGATCCACAGGCTCCATTAGCTGGAAGGCACCTTGCTGACACTTCAGCTAGAGCTGCTATGAAATTACTTGTGCTCAACATACATGTTTTAAAGCTACTGTCTCTTGTCTTACCTTGTACCAAATTGCTCAGTTGTATATCTGAAGGCAAGGTCTTTGACAGGACAAGGAATAATGAATTTAAACTAAAGAAGAACAGATTTAGACTGGATATAAGGAAGAAATTTTTTACAGTGAGGGTGGTGAAGCACTGGCACAGGTTGCCCAGAGAGGTAGCAGAGGCCCCATCCCTGGCAACATTCAAGGCCAGGTTGGACGGGGCTCTGAGCAACCTGGTCTGGTTAAAGCTGTCCCTGCTCGCTGCAGGGGGGTTGGGCTGGATGGCCTCTAAAGGTCCCGTCCAACCCAAAGTATTCTGTGATTCTATGATTCTTAGCACAGCCAATCTTCATACTAACTCCCACCAAGTCCATATAGCCAAATGTCAAGTGAGGTAAGGGCCACTGCGCATTTAACTACAGTTAAACATGAGCACCTCAGTATTTTCTACCTCCTGGCAGTTGATGTAGCAGGGTTTTCTGGTAGTCGTATAATAAATACGTGTCAAAACCACCCTGCCTTTTTGTTTCTTATTAAAAAAAAAACCTCCAAAACTTTGTAATTTGTCTTAGCAAAGATATAATTGGCTTAATACAGATCTTCACAAAGTCCTCCTCACGTGCACGCGGAGAGGGCTGCAAACCTCACAGCAGATGTTTGCTGCAGACATCCCTCCATGTGGGCACGTGGCAACTGCTCTTTCTCCCCATCCACACCACTGAGGTGGGCTGCCCTCCACACGCCAGGATTTTCCTCCCACAGCTACAGAGAGGATTTAGTCTCTGACATCCACCATCTCCTGCCCTCCAGCCTGGGGACTGACACCACCAGAATCCCTAGCCCAGGGCCGGAGCAAGGCAGCAGGGTGGGAGAAGGGAGTGGGGAGGGCAGAAGCATCCTGCTGTGATACAAAGGCAACCACCACACTAGGAGGCACAGCACAGTGTTATCCTCTGCAAGACATGTGAAGTCTTCATGCTAATCACCACCAGAAAGGCCTCAGCCAAGGAATGTGTTTGGTTCGGGTAGCTACAGCCCAGCAAAGATGGGGACCAATTGGAGAACCTCAGAATCACAGCAACAACCATGATCAGAAGTGAAGAAAATGTGGCCTGAAAAGGCTGCAGAACTGGGATGGCTTAGACAAGAAAAAACATGCTAAGGACAGGTGTATGTCTACAGCTACATAATAGCCCAGCCAGGAAAGGGAAAGAAGTAAACAGGTTTGCTACATCCATGTGGACAGAGTAGAGCAGGTGCACACACATAAATGCAAAAATACATGTAGTTTCCCATTTTTGGCTTTAATTTTTAATCACCAATGAATACAAAGCATTTAAGTATTGCTCTTTTAGTATTTATCTTACAGTGAGAATGGCCTTTGCTGTACTCAGGTGAGGTCATGACCAAGACTTCCAAGGTACTTCAGAATTTATTGAAAGTCTCAGCTCAGCTTTGCAAGACCCAAGGCTTTAAAAAATTAAGTTATTACAAAAGACACTGAAATTTGTGCAGTTTGTGTAAGCTTCATGCCTCAGTCCTGTCTGCACTCTCCAGCATGGGGCTTTAGGTCTGCTGATGGGACAAGTAGAACTTCTACAAAAAATACTGGGGACTTTTGAAATCAAACCAATAAATAAAACCAGCAGGGTTTGGAAACATATGGTGCAACTTGTTCCCTGTAACAGCCACAGCCATATGTTTCCTTCTTTCAGTACTCTGTTGGATCTGTGCTATCATCATTTCACCCTCACAAAATTTACCGTGGGGGAGACACACATCTGAATGGATTAGCAGTGATGGGGAGGTCTGCCATCCAGTGGCTTTTTTCCATACTGCTGAACAGCTACAGTGGCTTTGATCCACTCTGCCTGCTAATTTGGGTTTGCTTCTTCACCTTTGTTGTCACCGTACAAGAGGGGATAACAACAGTGACCTGGCATATTCCCTGCATATCCAAATTGTCAGTGGTTGCAGCTCTGTGTCATGTTATTGTTGCTGGGTCTTTGCCTGCAAAAACTTTATTACATCCAAAAGCGCAGGTTCCCATTTTCCCACTGCCAGCGCATTATTGCTTTTAACAACTGAAATGGGGCAGCTGTTTTCAGATGAGGCTCCTCCTAGTTCCAAACTGTTAGCAATGGGGATTTTAAATTCAATTAAAAGGTATCTCATTTTTAAAGTCCCAATTGTGTTTGTGCTGTAGAGCAGACATCCTGTTGTGTTTGGGTGCATGTACAAGAAGCTGTTAGGAGTTCCCATTTCCCGTAAAAGCAGCAGCGTTTCGGAAGTGCACTGAGTCAGCTGCTCCAAAGCGCCGCCAGCAGATAAAAAGCCCATTTGCCTCTTGGAAGCGCGGTGAGAGGGTGGGGAGACATCCTGCAGCAAACATGTCAGGTCTGTCAAGTTTGTCTAATATTCTTGTAGATAATTCACTGTACCAAAGTCTGTTTTCCATTAACTGCTGGGATGGGGTTAGCATTGTTCCTCTCTTGCTGTTTGTGTGCTTTCCCTTCTGCAGCGGCATGTTTAGGCAACAGATAAATGCAGATGAATTGCAAGTCAAACAAACTGCAAGTCAGATAAATTGTAATTAATGGAATTGAAGGATGTTTCTCTTCAATTTTTCCTGTTGACAGTAGCTATGGAAAAGTAAGCTGGAGCCAGTAAATAGCGTAGGATTTCTTTTGACTCTCATAGCTTTTTTTGATTTTGGAATAGCAAAACTGCCTTTTGGAGGTGCCTTTCTCCGTTGGCTACGCAGGCAGCCCAAGTCACAAGCTTAGACTGGACAGCTAAGTTTTAGGCAAGCTAAAAGTTGAGGAGATGAATTGTGCATGAGCTAGTTCACTCACAAGCTACACTGTGGCTTTATGCTAGCATAATCGAGAGGTAATCCTTTCCAGAGCGTATGATACCACGACCGCATCTGCCAGCACAAATGCCTGCACTAGTATCGAAATGATGCCATGGGTTTCAGTCATGGATCTGAAAACATTTTAATGGCATACGTCACACGCTGCGCTGGCCTGACATTTGGTTGTAAATACTGCTCTTAGGCTGTTCGGAGCGTTATGGGAATATCCTGAACGTTGACACAACTGGAGCTTCGGAGGCAACCGCGAAACCGGAAGGTCTGAGCTATGCAGGTAGGCACTAATTCAGTTGTTTATCTACGCTTACACCCATGCACAAGCTCATGACTATTACAGATCCCGGTCTCTGGCTGTCAGTCGCTGCCATGCAGATTTTTCCACAACCAACAAAGGTCCTACTTGGGCACATAAGTTTATGTTGGGAATAGAGTTGCCTTTGAGATGTTCTAAGGAATATTCAGGACTATCAGAAAATGCAAGGTCTGCTGAGTGCATCCAACCCCTGCCATTGAACCTGCTTTTCTCTCTCCCTTAGGAGGGTTTCCCTCATGACCTAAGTTTCTGAACATTTCCCTATTACAGTCCTAAATTAAAAGGAACTAAATCTGGGACTAATTCACCCAAAGGCTTAGATTTAAAACAAGAAGACCTGCCTTTTTGTCTGCACGCTAGAGAACTGCCCTCTGTATTTGAAAAAACGTCTTTGATATCATCTGTGTATTGATTTCTAGGGCACTTACCCTTCAGCAGAATTGGTCAATTCTATCACTGCTTCTCTCTAAATAGAATCATAGAATCATAGAATGCTTTGGGTTGGAAGGGACCTTCAGAGATCATCTAGCCCAGCCCCCCTGCAGTGAGCAGGGACAGCTTTAACCAGATCAGGTTGCTCAGAGCCTAGATTCAGAAGGATTCAGAATGTCAGCTCAGTCATAATGACTGTTAGAACAACTTGTTTCTAATTTAAAAATGCAAGGAAGTCATGCACATTGTGTTGTAGGAGTTCCTGCCTCAGAGAAGATTGCAGAAGGAGATTTGAAGAACATGGAGAAATACCGAGCCAAGATTACAAAAGTTGGCAACAGCAAGTGTGTTGATCCAGCTGTGATTGCTGGTATTATCTCTCGAGAGTCGCATGCTGGGACAGTGCTGGACGGCGGCTGGGGTGACCACGGGAATGCATTTGGTTTAATGCAGGTATGGTCAACCTTCTTAAAAACACAAACCTCATCCTTCTTTTGAAGCAGAAAGTCAGAAGAACAGCAGGGGCTCCGTTGAAAGGCAAACCCCTAAACCTTTTCAGGCAACTTTTTGGCCAGAATAAAGCCGACACTGACCCAGCTGTCAGCTCCCAGCACTGGGGAAGGACCCCAGTGAGTGTCAGGGCATAAGCAGACTGCTTTTGCACTGTGAAAGTGCTTCTTGCTTCCCAGCACTCCTTTGGGAATGGAGAGGTTAATTGTTCCTATTTCATACTTTAGATAATAAATCTTGTTTCAAAAAGCTGCAGCTACATCCAGTCAGGTTAATTACCCTTTATGCACCACAGGGGCCTGGCTAGTGGGGGATCGTGCTTCGTTATTCATGCCTACATTCATGCCTCGCTTGTTTGCCAAGTTGTATGCTTCTCTGTACAATCCCTAAACATTTGCTGCATGCATTGGGATCCGCTTTTGTAACAGCTCCAGCCCCCTCAGTCTTGTGCTTTACTACCCCATGGATAAGAGGTGGAGAAGAAGGAGAAAAGGAGGAAGAGGAGGAGGAAGAGGAGGAGGAGGAGGAGGAGAAAAAAAGAGGAGGAGGAGGAGGGGAGCAGAACTGGGGCAGATCAAGGGGAGATCCCTGGAGGAAACAGGGGTTTTCTCATCCTTGTTGCAGCTGGGGAGGAGAGGAGCAGTCACCTTGCAGCTGGAAAAGCTTGAACAGCAATAAGCCCACTTTCTGCACCCTGTCACCTTTACAGCCGCAGCTGTGTTGGGTTTTTAAGGCTCTGACAGACAAGGAGGTGGGGCAGGCATTCCTCTTCAGTGCCCCGATAGTCTACTATTCCTGCATCTGCTGGCTTCGCCTGCACCTTAAGCTAAGTTTGCTTCCTCTCTATACAATTACAAAGATGTAAATCATGAGATTAAAGATCAAAATTCATACAAGCAGCCTGTAAGCAATGAAGAGCTCTGGAAAAATAGTGGGGTTTCTGGTGTGCTGATATTGCTGTCTCACTTTCAGGTTGACAAACGGTACCATAAGATTGTCGGGTCATGGGACAGTGAAGAGCACTTAGCACAAGGCACAGAGATTTTATGTGGGATGATAAAGGAAATCCAGCAGAAATTCCCAACATGGACAAAGGAACAGCAGCTCAAAGGTAGAGTTTTGTCAGCTTTAAAATGTCAGCTTTAAAACAGTTCACACACATAGAAGTCAAGCACAATAACGCTGTAGAACTGAGCACTTGAGAAAACTAAACACATCCCAGTACCCCTGTTCATTTTATTGAGGCATGGAACAATATTCCTTGACACTCACTAAAAGGAATAGAGGAATAAGATGTGGTTAGCCTTCTAGCAGGCTTTTGGAAAACCTGGCATGTATCATGACATTTTTCAGTTGCAAGGAGTAAGGGTGGGTTTTTCCCCACCTCTCTCCATTTCATTTCTTTTGTGTTTCTATACCCACCTACAAAAAGCTACTATCCTGGCAACTCCAAAGAAGGAACACATTAATTTTGAAAATGTATGGTCCTCTCTGAAGGAAACACAGTTATATTCTTGAACACTGATTATAGTTGAAGCCATCACGGTTGGATCCCTTTATTCCAACTACAACATAAATATGTCTGAGGTTATTAACACAGGTAGACATGAAGGAATATGCACAAAAGGAACCAGTCATATAACTAAAGATGTCACATTAGTAAATACAGCAAGGGATCAACGATCACCAAGTCTGGATGTAAAGGAGGAAATTATTATTTCTTCACAAAGTTAAAACACAAAAGGAACACCTCAGTGGCAAAAATATCTGGAAATGGTAATATAATACTGGTGAAAAGAGAGCTGCAAACTAAAGCAACACATTTAAGTAATGATTTTTGTTTGCTTGCTTATTTACTGAGGAAGTATCATCTCTGTTTATGTGTTCCTTTCACTCTCATTTCAGGTGGGATTTCAGCCTATAATGCGGGGCCTGGAAACGTCCACACCTATGACGGAGTAGATATTGGCACAACCCACAAGGACTACGCCAATGATGTGGTTGCAAGAGCCAAGTTTTATAAGAGAAATGGATACTAAGATATGCAAGTAATGATTACATTTGCGTGACTGATTACATACTTTGCTTCTAATTAAAAAAATCCTGGATTTCTCCCCCAGAAAGAGTAAGAACGAGGGAGGGCAATGAAGCCAGAAACAAGTGCAAGCTTTCAATTTTTTTTTTCAGCTAAGGCTAAAAAAAATCACTTTAAAAGATAACACTGCTAATAATCCAAACTACAACCTATCTTTTGCCATTTATTTTTTATGTCAGTTCACAAGAATATTCAAGCAGAGTTTTCATCTGTGCTTGCAGTTTCTCAAGCAGCAGATTAATGCTGCAAGAAAGTTATAGCACTGCTTAACAAGATTTTATCTGCCTTAGATTTTATCTGTCAATACGTGTCTAACAGCAGTACAAAATTGGTTGTTAACAATCTGCAATTTTGGAAGCAAATATTTGCAATAAATATTGTATATGTTTAATCTATCAGAAGAGTCTGTCTCAGTGTATCACATCCTTTCAGAACAATCACCCTTAACTTTGGTGGTGTCACCACAAAGTGGCTGTTTCTTGTGACAAGAGGGAAAATACTAAGCTTTCCTTAACTTTTTTTTTTTTACCCTTGATACTACTTCATTTTAGCCTTTACAGTTGCAAACAATCTGTAAAACTCAAGCTGCTGTAATGAATACTTTTATTGAAGCTATATATTAGCTTCAATGCAGGGTCTGGACTAAGAATATGCACGTTCCAGCATGTTTTTAAAATGGCAGGTAGTTTATAAAATCTGATGCAAGTTCACACACAGTAAACAGATCCTTTTAATCAATCGCATAGTAAAGCTTTTGGGGAGCCTTAGCTTCAGAGTTGTTGGGTTCATTCAGCCATTTCAAGACACAGGGGAGAAAAGTAAGTGGTTTAGAGTGGTTAAAAAAAAAACCCTCAAGCGTATCACTAGGGGCTAAAGGAGAAATAACAAAGAGCACAGGGGGGTTGTTTGTTTGGTTGTTTTAAATAGGGTGCATTTTTTATAGCTAGTATTTCGCACCTGTGATTAAAAATATCCTGATGCTGTTATTAGAATTCTATTGTTCTGCTCACACTACAGTATTAATTACCAAATCTGAAACAGTAAGTCAACCTGCAACAGAGCAATAGCACAGAAATACAAATTTATTCTTAAACCAGTACATTTCTACATTGCTACCACACATTGCACCAAAGATTGAACATACTTTCAATGCTACAGTGGGTAGACATGGCAAATGGTTCCTACCCGAGAAGCAAGCTCCAACGTGAGCCAGCGGTGTGCCCAGGTAGCAAAGGCAGCTAAGGGTACCCTGGGCTGTGTGAACAGAAGCACAGCTCGGCCAAGGGAAGGGATTACACGCCTCTACTAAGCACTTGTTAGACCACATCTAGAGTAGTGTCCAGTTTTGGGCCCCCTGACACAAGAAAGAACAATTAAGTCGAGCGAGGTCAGCAGAGAGCCACCAAGGTGGTTGGGGCTGGAGCACTTGCCCCATGAGAAGGGACAGCTTCAGACGGGCCCAACAGCAGCCCCACAGGACCTACCTGTGGGGGGGAACGGAGCAGATGGGGCCAGGCTGGCTCCTCACGGAACTGCAAGGTGGGAAGAGAAGTGACAACAGGCATAAGCTGAAAGAAGAGAGGTTCAGACTGGATACAAGACTGTATTCTGCATGTAACCTATTCCCCGTGAGGACAGCCAGGCAGCAGAGCAGGCTGCCCAAAAAGGCTGAGCTGTCCCTGTCCTCAGAGGTTTTCAAGACCCGACTAGACAAAGTCCTGAGCAACCTGGTCCGACCGCAGCACTGGCCCTGCGTTGAGCAGGAGGCTGGACTAGAGACCTGCGAGGTACCTTCCAGCTGGAATCTTTCTGTCATCTTAGGTCAGCCTGTTTGTTCCCTGCACAAAAAGGCAGTATCTCTTACCTGTGCTTCATGTAAATCTTCATTTACAATGCTCCATTAACGAATGGATGTGGACACGCACTGTGTTTGTGCACCCTGTTGGTTCAGGTTTTAGACCCGAGAGCAAATCTTTAGAGAACATATGCTTATACAGAGAAGGTTTGGGATAGCAGATTGACTGTATGACAGTTGTGACCTTGGAGGAAATACCATTTCAGAAACACCCAAACCTACACATATATTAAAAATTCTTAGAAAATACAGTTTCCTTTTTCATGAAAACTGCCAGCTTCTCAATTAAAGACAGCTGTAAACATCTCTTGTAACTAAATCGTACCCAGAAATAACAGGCACTATCTAAAGCATTTTCCCTTTTCTGTACTTGGCAAGCAGTTATTAGCTCTGCTCTAACTTAGGTAGCTTATCAGACACTTTTTAGGTTGTGCACAGTACCAAGCAAGCTTGTTCATTAACACATTCTTTCCAGTTTACATTGCACTACTTTTGAACATTGTAGCATCTGTATAGTGTAATGAATAGAAGATCCATATTCATACACATACTGTGTATGACAGAACTGGCAGTGCTCCCTCTGTTGGGAGATTCACCAGGCTGTAGTGCCATGGACACAAATCCTGAATGTGCTTGGTAAGGCTGAGCGATCCTGGCTTTGGTGCTCTGGGCCACCAAGCCTGGTACAAGACCTATATTTGCTATCCCCCAGCAACAAGACCCATTTGCCTAATTTTCTGGGCAAATTGTCATCTTGTGTCATCTCTTTTAAGCATGCCCTGTACCTCGCATGCACTACACACATCCTTCAAAAGGGCTGGAATTTCAGCTTTACTAAGTACCTCCCTGTGAGAACACGGTCAACACCACACAGAGACTGCAGTTGTAACATACTGCAGCACAAGACGCCATGCAGATACTGGAAGGGAGGAGGGAGGGAAGAAAAGCAACATTCATTTATCCGTTTCCCTTTTTCCTTTCTATTCTATATACTTCAGACTGACACCAGTATTTTCTGTGTCCTTCCAACTACAGCCTGTATCTTGTTGAGAAATTGAGGTTTTTCAGCTCAATTTTGCGTTTCTGCCTTCAGCCTGTTCATAGGAGCCATTACAGTCTTCAATGCCACCATGACAGCCTAACCTTCTTTTTCTTTCTCCTGCACAGTGTCTCTAGCTTTTACGTCCCTCTACTGATATGCCCATTCCTTTGAACTCCTACTGGTGTTTACTCTTCTCTGCAAGCATGCAGAAAAGATAAACATTCATTTTCAGCGATTGTATCCCTCTGATCTTCTCACAACACAGAGTCATTAAGATTAACTCCTCTACAGTGCATCTAGTGTGGGAGAGGCTCACAGTGTGTTAAACTATGGAATTTATGCTCCCTGGAATGAAAACTACTTTATCATTTGATACAGCAGCGGCTTCCTAACTTTGGCTGCAAGTCTTAAAACTGTAAAGAAAAATATGCATACAGTACTATTCAAGATCCTTCAGTAAAAGGTGTTATTTTATAAGCTTGCAGCCCACAATTACTAACTTGCATCAAAGAGGTATGCTTCAGCGTCTCCAGATTTCTAAAGTCTGCAATTTTAGAACAAGAAAAGCATCAACTTTCACATAGACTGCAGCTCTTAGGCTATTATTATTAAACATTTAGGATCAAGAAATAGGTTTTAAGTGAGATAGCATGTTTCCTGAAAGACAAATTATACAACCTACCAAGATGTGAATCACTCCCGTTACTCCCAAACGGGGAATTCAGGTACTTTTTAAGCTACAGAGGGGGCCAGATGACAGGCTGTTTGCTAAGGAACAAGCGTGAGATCTGGATGACCAAGGTAAGTCACTCAAACGCCTGCCTCGATCAAATGACACTCTCAGTGGATAGCCAGTCGATTCTTGTGTAACTGGTAAACAGAGGGCTTTTCAACTCCAGTTCCTTCCTTCACACAGTAAAGGTGAAGTCATGCACCATCATTGTAAATCTTTACTGGGAAACATCCTCACCATCGTTAGTTAGATCTATTCTACTTACTTCTCTGCTTATCTGACTTTATTTCACAGGATCATTGAATGCTTTGGGTTGGAAGGGACCTTTAGAGGCCATCCAGCCCAACCCCCCTGCAGCGAGCAGGGACAGCTTTAACCAGATCAGGTTGCTCACAGCCCCAGCCAACCTGGCCTTGAATGTTTCCAGGGATGGGGCCTCCCCTACCTCTCTGGGCAACCTGTTCCAGTGCTTCACCACCCTCATTGTAAAACATTTCTTCCTTATATCCAGTCTAAATCTACCCCCCTTTAGTTTAAAACCATTACTCCTCCTGTCACAACAGGCCTTGCTAAAAAGATTGCCCCCATCCCTCCTACAGGCCCCCTTTAAGTACTAAAAGGCAGCAGTAAGGTCTCCTCGCAGCCTTCTCTTCTCCAGGCTGAACAACCCCAACTCTCTCAGCCTGACCTTGTAGGAGAGGTGTTCCAGCCCCCTGATCATTTTTGTGACCCCCCTCTGGACCCGCTCCAGCAGGTCCATGTCCTTCTTGTGCTGAGGGCCCCAGAGCTGGACGCAGCACTCCAGGTGAGGTCTCACCAGAGCAGAGCAGAGGGGCAGAATCACCTCCCTCGACCTGCTGGCCACGCTGCTTTTGATGCAGCCCAGGATTCGGTTGGCTTTCTGGGCTGCGAGCGCACATTGCCGGCTCATGTCCAGCTTTTCACCCACCAGTACCCCCAAGTCCTTCTCCTCAGGGCTGCTCTCAATCCCTTCATCCCCCAGTACTGATATTGGGGGTTGCCCCGTCCCACGTGCAGGACCTTGCCCTTGGCCTTGTTGAAATGAGGTTCACACAGGCCCACCTCTCCAGCTTGTCCAGGT